GATAGTGCTTAGTTAGGTGTTGGTCATAGATTAGTTGCTTGAAAAATACTTGCAGATTTGCTTTGAAGTTGAAAGAGAATTGCTATTTTCCAGGTTGAGAAAGACAAGCCTGAGATACAGTTTTAAAAGGCTAGCTGTATGTTCCGTTCGGGTCCCAGAATGCCAATTGACAATAAAAGCTACAAAAGTAAAGACAACCATGATATTCATATTGGCTACTCAGTAACTGCTATATGGGAAATTATTTTAAAATTGGAAGGTGGCTTGTGGAGCATAAAATCAGGGGAGGCTGGGTTATCAGATGAACTAACTGACTGTTGTCTTTAGGGGAAGGTAGCCTGGCTTCGGTCTCTATTCTCAAGGATGAATATGCATGAGAATTGACTGGGAAGGCAGAGGAATCTGGGAATTCTTTCTCTTGGATGGTTTTGGAAAGGTGTTGTTAAATTCCCGCTTATCTACTTTTTAATGTTACATTTCGTGCAAAATACACCTCTCCAGTTAACCCAGTGATGTTACCAGAAAGGTGTCCCTATCCAGACCCCAAGAGAAGGTTTTTGGATCTTGCCCAAGAAAGAATTTGAGGTGAGTCAATGAAGTGAAAGCAAGTTTATTAAGAAAGTAAAGGAATGAAAGAATGGCTGCTCCATAGGCAGAGGAGTGCCAAGGGGTGCTGGTTGTCCATTTTTATGGTTATTTCTTGATTGTATCCACAAGGTATGGATTATTCATGCATACCCTTATTTAGAACATATAAGGTACATCCTGACATTGCCATGGCATTTGTAAAATGTCATGGCCCTGGTGGGAGTGTAGCAGTGAGGAAGACAAAGGACACTGTCATCACCGTCTTGGTTTTTTTGGGTTTTGACCAGCATCTTTACTACAACCTGTTTTATCAGAAGGTCTTTATGACCTGTTTCTTGTGCCTACCTCCTTACACTGTGACTAAGGATGCCTTAACCTCCTGGAAATGCAGCCTAGTAGGTCTCAGCCTTATTTTACCCTGCCATTATTCAAGATGGAGTTGCTCTGGTTGCAACACCTCTGACAGTATTTTTTCCTACAGGTTAGATTTAAATTAGCTGGGACTCGGCTTTAGTTATACTGTTTTAGTTATCCCCCTTTAAGCTCATAGTCCAGGAATTTTGATGACATCTGAGGATGAGTGGATACTAGAGCAAGTCAGGCAGTTTATAGGTTATACTTTTGATTGAGTATTTTATCAGGTAATTTTTCTGACTCGTACACTGTATTTTTCCAAAATTTCTTTTGTAGAATTTGTTCTTTCATATTAGCTGCATCTAGATTTGAAGAATAGAAAGACACATTCAGGATTTTTCACCTAGCGCTGGTGTTGAACATCATGTTATAAAATGGTAGGAGCAAAGTTACAGGCATCCTAGCTCAAGCAGATGACAAGTCCCTGGAGGGAAGAGTAGCCTTCCCGTATAAAATCTGGTCATGTAGGGATGTGTGTGTGTGTGTTTATTTTTAAAAGTGCATCATATATTAAACAAAGATTTTTTTTTCTATGAAAAGTATAGTGGGTTTGACCTCTCATTCTGGTCTTCTCTCCTCGTTCTATAAACAGCATCTCTTTTTATACAAATCTGTGAACAGGAATTTATTTTCCTTTATATTTTGGTGATTGGTAAAATTGGAAGCCTTTGACATTTTCAATACTCATAGAAAATAAGAAGTCTTCTGGACTTCTCCGGAAGCTGAGGTATTTTGTAAAGAACAGAGGAATCAGATTCAGAAAGGTTGGTACCATTAGATTATTCTGTACTGGGCTGTGTACACTGACTCATTCACTCACTTTCTCTGGGCCCCAGCTTAGTTTCGGAATTTATCAAATGGCCTTCACAGTAATAGCTATCTTATTTTACTTAATGTGAATGGGCTTTGTTTCTAATAGGATCTTTGGAAGATAAAATTCTTATTCCTAAAATAAATCCAAACTGAATGATGCATTTTAACAATCACTGGCCTTTTGCAGTGCATATATTACTAAGAATATTTGCCTTTTCCAACTTTGCAATCATATATGCTTGAGTAAAGTAGTCTTTTGGGAATTCAATCTGTCAGAGACAGTCTATTCTATTATATTCATATGACCAAAGTACAGGTAAAATTATTGCCAAATATAATTGGAAAGTTAAATTGCAAATTTCAGACTATCATGAAGAATTTATAGAGTTTTAATTTTCATTATACAAAGGGCTTTTTGTTGGCTTGTTTTATTTTTGATCTTACCATTATGTGTTATGAATCACAATGGCTGAATGAAACAAGGTGACAAGTAAAGTTTATGTTTAAGAATACTAATCTCGGCTGGGCATAGTGGCTCATGCCTGTAATCCCAGCACTTTGGGATGCAGAGGCAGGTGGATCACCTGAGGTCAGAAGTTCAAGACAAGCCTCACCAACATGGAGAAACTCTGTCTCTACAAAAAATACAAAATTAGCCAGACATGGTGGCACATGCCTCTAATCCCAGTTACTCAGGAGGCTGTGGCAGGAGAATTGCTTGAACCCAAAAGGCAGAGGTTGTGGTGAGCCAAGATCTCACCATTGCACTCAAGCCTGGGCAACAAGAGTGAAATTCCGTCTCAAAAACAACAACAACAAAAAACTACTACTCTATGCCCTGTTGTTTTTAGAAATCCCTTATTTTTATACTTGTGGTTAAAACTTGTAGTTCTTTTTTTTTCTTTACATTACCAAGGCATTGAAACATTATTTTCTTTTAAATACATATATAGCGTAATTTTTGAGTCCCAGCTACATACATCACAATATTGTGCATTGTTATCTCCATTTTTTTTTGTGTGTGTGAATTCTGAAAGAAGCAGCATAACATTTTCCTAGGATACCTAATGAGCAAAAGCTGGAGTCATAGGAAGGATTGGGAGAGTTCCCACTTAAGTGGAGAACTCCCTTTGTATAATAACTGTAATATCACAGTAATTTCTCAAATGGAAATGTTTTAATTTACTGTTTGCTAACCATTGCTGGAGTCATGGTGTCTGCTCAGGGGACAGAAAGGATTAATTTAATTTGATTACTGACTAGTGGTCTTCGAATTTGATTTAATTCAAAATATGAATATGTCTGATATTTCTCTTCTTTCTAGGAATATTTCAAGACATGATCTAATTTCATTGTGCTGCACTGTTTAGTCGAATATGTATTTATTTTTTCAGTGTGTAGGGATTCAATAGAGGCATTCACTTTTGAGAACCTAAAAAAAGGATATGAGATTCACATGAAATAGGGACTTTTCAAATACCAAGGCCAGTACAAATCAATGCACGTGAATAGTAGTCTTTGTGGAAAATAAGACAGCTTGAACATGAGATTTTTATTTATTATAAGTATTACAAATAGAAATGTAACACAGCTATTCCAAATTATTACCAATTAATGGAAGATGAATATTAAACATAAATTTGAACTTTTGGAACCCTCAAGTCATCATTCTAGATAATCAAGTTTTTCAGAAAGAGATACAGCTTTAAATCATAATTTTACAAAAACCAATTTTATATGGAAAATTTTCCAGTAATTTTCTGCCTTGTGAATCAGAGCATACTGAATTGGATACTTTTAAAAAGCATACTTTTTAGTGAGAACTCAGGGTTATTGCTGTGAGTATAAAGTATAGGACTGCATTACTGCCATAGAGGGTAGCAATACGCTGATATCTGAGGAACCCAGGTTTTCCTGCTTTCTAATTTTCCATTGTTATTCTGTTTTGGAAATATCTGTTTTTTTTTTTAAAAAAAATGCTAATAAGGGCCTTGTGAACTTTTTTTTTTATTTTTGAGATGGAGTCTCGCTCTGTTGCCCAGGCTGGAGTGCAATGGTGCGATCTCGGCTTACTGCATCCTCTGCCTCCCAGAATCAAGTGATTCTCCTGTGTCAGCCTCCCAAGTAGCTGGGATTACAGGCGTGTATCACCATGCTCAGCTAATTTATTGTATTTTAGTAAAGATGGGGTTTCACTGTGTTGCCCAGGCTGGTCTCAAAGTCCTGAGCTCAGGCAATCCACCCACCTCGGCCTCCCAAAGTGCTAGGATTACAGACATGAGTCACCATGCCCAGCTTGTGTACCTTTATTTATTTATTTATTTATTTTTGAAACAGAGTCTCACTCTGTCACCAGGTGCCAGGCTGGAGTGCAGTGGTGCAACCTCAGCTCACTGCAACCTCCACCTCCCAGGTTCAAGCAATTCTCCTGCCTCGGCCTCCCCAATAGCTGGCACTACAGGCGTGTGCCACCACGCCCAGTTAATTTTTTTTTTGTTTTTAGTAGAGACAGGGTTTCACCATGTTGGCCAGGATGGTCTCGATCTCTTGACCTCCTGATCTGCCCACCTTGGCTTCCCAAAGTGCTGGGATTACAGGCGTGAGCCACCACACCCGGCTGCTTGTGTACCTTTTAAATCTTTACTGAAAAGAGTCTTCAGGCAAGGTCTATATATTCAGCTTAAATTCCTAAACTGTAATAGCAATATAAAATTCATCAGGGTTGATGTAATACAAATGTCAATAGATGCTGCTTCACAATTGCATTCTAATTGTATGGACTAATGCTATCATGTGCTCTGAACTGCAAACAATTTTGCATTAATAACAGCTCACAATTCAATTCAGGAAGCATTTCTGAGCATCTTTATATTCTTAATGAAGGATTAAATGGAAACGTAAAATGGCTAATTCTTTCAAAGAGATTTTAATCTCAGGATGTAGGGAGTCATGCTGTTGGTTAACTGCAATGCAAGTCTGAGGAAATAAAAGCTTTCTCTTATTTTCAGAGTCCAGTGATGTTCAGTCTGAATAAATACAAACAGACCCTTAGGGCATGTATTTGTCATATATACGTGTATGCTTATATATACATACAATTATGTATATATACATTTTAATATGTCTGTATAAATATAAATATTTTGTGTTTATATCCGGCTAACATTTTCTGTTTTATTCAACAGGAATCTTCTTGACAGAGACACATTTTCTAAATCTGATCCGAGTAAGTATGTATTTCCTGCCTTTTGAAAAATCTACTTAGTTTTTACTCATTTGATTTTGCAAAAGTCGTATGAAACTCATAGTTCTTGTTTAAAAGTTTGTCTTAAAGCCTTGAAAGTGTCAGGGGACTGCTCCCAAGCCCTACATACTCATCAGCCCGGGCAATATTACGGCTAAAGAGGCATTCGCTGAGCACTTTGAGAATAAAACGAGAATACAGATGGCTCCAGTGTGGGACAGTTCACTTTGAAATTAAAACCTCATGCTATGGCCTTTTGGTAGAAATCATTGCATTTGAAAGAAAACCGTAATGGGCCATAATTTAAAGTTGTTTAGTCACAGAGTAATACTTTTTTTTCTTTTTCTTAAAATAAAAATTGTAGTCAGACAAGGTGGTTCATGCCTATAATCTCAGCACTTTGGGAGGCCCAAGCAGGAGGATTGCCTGAGCCCAGGGCTTTTAGACCAGCCTGGGCTACATAGTGAGACCCCCCCACCCCCAGTCTCTTAAAAAAAAAGAGAGAGAGAAAAGGAAAATAAAATAAAAGTGATGTATAAAATTTATAACCAAGTGAAATACATAACGTCTGATATGAACCAAAGTTTGTGATTACTAATTAGTGGTATTGAAAATTGGCAATAACTTTTAAAGTGAAAAGGGTAGTTTGAATTAGAAAACAGCAGAATGAACTATATAAATCAATGTGCTTCTGAATCTTGTAATATTTAAAAATGGATATGCAACAGTTCTCTATCTCTACAAATGTGTAAACAAATGTTGAATTACAGAAGAAAGGTTTTTGTCAGTTGTCAGAATTCTTGAAGTAGTCATTGGGAAAAGGTATTGCAATTGCGGATATTAAAAATTCCTGGGGCTCATTTGACAAGTGGTTGGGGCACTTCTTACCCTTAATCTTTACCCAAAGCCCTTACTATCCCTTTTGGGAATTCCTTTCTTGGTTGACGCAATTTCTTACCTATTTACAAATATTCAGGGTAGAAGCTGTAAATATTAAATGTAGAGCGTGACTTGTCCCAGATTTTCCTTCCTATTATGCCTAAGGAAGAACTTGACTTGTGTTTCACAACATGATGAAATATTTCAAATTGTTTAAACTATGGTTTTAAAATTTATCTATGAAGACCTTAGCAAATACTTATTGTTTTATGTGTCAAGTGCATTACGTATTAAATTATGAAGATCTGACATTGTTTTCTGTTTATTTAAATTAATTTTTAGTCATTTGATGATTTACTAGCTTTTTTTTTTTTTTTTTTTTTTTTTTTTTGTGAAGGTAAGCCTAGGAATTAGGTATTTAATTTTCATGTAGCTTTTGGACAGCTGAAAAATAAATTGTATATATTCACATGATTTTCATAAAAGACATTTATATATGTGTGTATTTTTTCGTCTTTTGTAGTTTGTGTCTTATATGTACAAGGAGTTGGAAATAAAGAATGGAGAGAGGTAAGATTAAAACTTTTTAAAAAAATTAATGGGCTTGAAGATATAGTACGTTGTAACTTGATCAAGATGATACTTCCTGTTTTTCGACCTAAAGATTGAGTTGTTTTTACCTTAGGAAAGTTACCCTCCTGTTTTGTTTTTAGTAACAGTGAGTGTTTAGCTTACTTAGGACCTTCTTGTGTAATATTCTAGGCCTGAAACTTGTACTTCCTTTATTCAAACATAAATTTAATGTGTTGCAATCTAGTTGCCGTCTAGTTGACATGATTTCTTACATAGTTAAGTTTGTGGATTTAGTCTTATTTTTAGAGATCAGCTGCTGACATTTATAAAATGCCACTTTAAAATATTTTGATTGTGCTGCTTAATACCAAATATTACTTGCTTTTTGCAGCTTATATAATAATAAAGTGGAAATTCAGCTTAATACAAATGTATGCCGTTTAACGAAGCAACAGTGAAGAGACTGAATTGTTACTTTAATTTGTTTTCTGGAGTGTCTCCACATGCAGATGGGTGGATGATCACTGGAAGGTGGAGGGCATATTAAATAAAAGGCATTTTCATCTTTCTACAGTTGCCAGTTATCTCAGGAAGTTAGTGCATTGTTTTAATGAGGTTACAGTTTCTGGCTAGCTTTCCCTAGTGAGGTTTGTGCTATTTGTTGCCACAGAGTGTATTTGTCAGTCATTTTGCCACTGTGTCTCAATTTTGAGTAGAAACTAAGAATAAATCCTTTAATTTATTCTTAAAACCTGGGGAAGATAACTCAGAACTTGTCCCTACTGATAATGGGCTGGTGGTCAGTGGTCTGCTGAACATGTTTCTAATATCTAACTGCTTCTGCCTACTTCGATTTGGTTCAATATTTACCTCAAGCTCTATATATTAAATGTAAACTCATCATCTTTACCCTTTGCCTGCTTCTTCTTTGCTTCAAATATAGCTAAACCACCAGCCAAAATATAAAACTGCAATTTTTGTAGTCATCCTGACTTTCCCACATTTTCATCACTTAATGTCATCTAGTGCTATGAATTCTCTTTCATGAAAAAGAAAAATCCATGACTATCAGATAAGTCACTTTTTTTTTTTTTTTGAGACGGAGTTTCACTCTTGTTACCCAGGCTGGAGTGCAATGGTGCGATCTCGGCTCACCGCAACCTCCGCCTCCTGGGTTCAGGCAATTCTCCTGCCTCAGCCTCCTGAGTAGCTGGGATTACAGGCACGTGCCACCATGCCCAGCTAATTTTTTTGTATTTTTAGTAGAGATGGGGTTTCACCACGTTGACCAGGATGGTCTCGATCTCTTGACCTCGTGATCCACCCGCCTCAGCTTCCCAAAGTGCTGGGATTACAGGCTTGAGCCACTGAGCCCGGCCAGATAAGTCACTTTTATTCAGACCCATTTTATCTTTTGTCTTCCCTGCTGCAGCAATTCTACCTTAGTGTGTGCCCCTTTTTTTTTTTCCATGTTCATCTGTCTAATCATTCCTTTGATTATCTTCCTGAAAGATACGCTGTCTTGTCATTCTTGCCGGAGTTCCCTTTCTCAAAGGCCTGAGACAATACAGTGTATCTACTGACAGACCATAGCTGCCAGGCTAGATGGAACTGAGCATTGACTAGGGTGTCCAGAAAATGACTTTGCTTCAGGCACCAGTAGAGTAACCGGGATAAATATACCTGAGTTATAGTGCCAGATATCTGGGCCAATGCAAATGCCTAATAATGAGGCAATTTGAAAGTTTATTGGATAAAGAGAGTTTGAAGAAGGACAACAAAAACTTTTGGACTTAAACCAGGGTTCTGGGAGTTAATTCTTAAGTGGGTACTGGCTAAGTGGTATTGGCTAGTTTAAGGGCAGCCTCAGCTCAAAATCTCCCTTCCTTAAAAAATTTCTCATGCCTTCCTATTGCCTAAGAAATGAAATATAAATTTCTTACTTAATTTACAACTTTTATAATAATGATGGCTCATTAGTGTTCCAAGCCCTTTATAAATATTCACTAGTTTTCACAGCAATTTTAAGAGGTAGGTTATATTATAATCCTTTTGTTATATGGATTATACAAGAAAAATGGATTATAGAAGAAAATTCGTTTATTATATGAGAAAAATGAAATGTAGAAAGGTTAAATGACCAGACCAATATTACAGTTGTAAATGACAGTGGGAATGCCTACCCAGGCCATCTGACTCCACAGCCCTTGCTATTAGACCATCTTGCTATGCAGAATTCTTGTCTGATACCAATCTTCACGTTCTTATTTTATAAAGGGAAATAAACTTTACCAATCAATGTTTAGGTCTTTATTATTATTTTCTCATGCTTGACTCAGAAAGAAAGACAAGTAGAAAGAGAAAGTCTACAATTTATGAGAAATGGCATAATAAATAGAGTATTAGGCTTATATTTTATTTCTGAAGTAGTTGTAAGTGGTAAGAAAATAGTGGTAAGTTGGAATAATGATGAAAAAGGGTTTGAAAACAAGATGAAAATGGAGAAACTAATGAGAGAAGACCCATAATTATGTAGAGTAGGTGGGAGCTATAGATAGCTGAAGATGGGGAAATACAAATTAAGAGGCATTTTCAACGTAATTTCAAAAGAGTGAAAAGTATTGAAGAAAGAGAATGGTCTGGAAGAATATAAAGGAAGTGCCAGATGCAAGAGAGAAGCATTTTGGAACATTAAGCAACTAATGAACTTGCAGGATAATGAAAAGAGATTTAAAAAAGACACTATGTGTGTTACTAATTCCTGCAAAACCATTTGAGAAAGATAATTTTGAGAGCCAGTGTAATGTTGTGGTTGAGGGCGTACACTTGATCTTTCAGTGACTCTGTTTCCTCATTTGTAACATGAGAATAATGAACATTCTGGCTAATATAGCTGTTACGAGGATTAAATGTGAATGACTTAGAACAGTATCTGGCACATAAGAAGTACTATACAATTAAGGATATAATTTTAAGACATTAAACAACTTGTAAAAGGATAACAAAACTAGAAAGTGGCAAGTAGGTAAATTCCAGCTTTATAAAATTCTGTAAAATTCTTTGCACAAGGCCAGCAGTTGATGGGAAAATGACCTATGGAATTTACTTGGCCTCAGACCTAATATGAAGCTGTGGTGTTAGACAGCTGCTAAAAGCCTGGTGCAATCTGAGGATCCATTGATGGATGTTCAGTGTTTACATCAAGAAAGATAATGCTATTATGTTGAACCATACGAAATTGTCATTTTTTATAGGTTAGAAATGATTGAATGTTGGCAGTTTCATGTGATTCAACTGAATACTATTGCACTTTGCTCCAATGGGAAATTGCTTTTTTACCTGCATTTTAAACCATTGAAAAGCCAAATCTGTATGTGAAGAGGGGTACCATTTTGAAGAAAGGGATAGAAGCTATAGTGTATGAATAACCTAATATTTAATCTGAAAAAATGCAAAGACGGAATAATTCACAGTACTTTCTTCAGACTCTTAAAATATTTTCATTTGAAAATGGGGGTATACTTGATGTTCAAGAAAAAAACCAAAAAATTTTGACCAAAGGTTGGAGAGACAAATAGATATCATTTAGTCCACCATGAAGAAAAGCTTGCTAACACTTAAAGTATCCCACAGTAGTAGGTTTCCCGGAACTGTATCCTGAAAGTGTAGTGCATTTCCTGTTACAGGAAATATTGAATTGGAGGCTGCACTGATTCATCAGGAAAGAAGTTGAACTTGATTAGCTCTATTTCCTTGCAAGTTTTTGATTCTTATGAGGCTATGGAGCTCAAAGCGTTTCCTAGTAATTTTATTAATTCTACCCAGTATCTTCTAAGTATTGAACACTATTTTATAAGGATGAAAAAGAGCTAAACCACTCTAATAATTACTGTTAGAATTATTTGAAATCAGACTGGGAAAATTTATAAACTTTATTAATGGTTTTTAAATATATCCTTTATTTATTAGTTTGACCAGCATTTATTGGATGCCAATTATGTAGTGGTAGATAAAATTTAAAAATAGATAGTGTTTCTACCTCAGGGAGCATGCAATATAATTGGAGCATTTTCTCAGCAATTTTGGCATATCTGTAAAATCAATTTATTGATGGAAGTATCAGCATTATCTCAATAATATAGTGGTTGTGTTTGTATTTAAATTCAGGTATACTTTGGAAAAGTATGTAGTAACAAGAAATATGAATTTATGTTCTGAGATTAATCACTTTTATAGAATAAGGGGAATAAGTGAAAAAATAAAGCTTAAAAATGTGTTGAAACAAATTCTCCATATAAAGAAATACAAAATTATTTAAAATTAATCTGCAGTTGAAATTTTCAATTTAAAAATTATCTCTAACACAATTATAATTACCACTGGATCATTGATAAATTATGACTGTGAATTCTGAAAAACTTTTGAAGTAATTGATTTTGTAAAACAAATTATTTTTAGAGTATAGTAATTTCAGAGCTAGAAATGATGTTTAAGCACCATGAATTATGAAACTATGAAAACCTCCTAGTGGCCAATGGAAATCACAAAGTAACATCTCTACAAATGCCCATTTTACTCGGGGTTGGGAACATGTTTCAACTAATTTCTTGAAGTTAGATTTTAGTTATCCATAGGCAATTCATTTTGTGAATTACTTTTAAACATTTAAAATTACAGAATTTGTTCCAGATTCCCTAAGTTAGTATATGATGAAAGAAGGCAAGCTGAAGTTGTTTATGAACTACAGTGATTATAGGATAGAGGCAAACAGATCTACTTTCAGATGCTGATTACTACAGTTTGACATTGTCTCTGCTCTGCTCCATTCCATTGACACTGAGCTATTTTAACATTTATTCATCTCCATACCGAATAATACTTGTTTATGTAGCTCGCTCACTCTCTCTCTCTCTCTTTCTCTCTCTCTCTTTCACACACACACACACACACACACACACACACACACTCTCACACATTCACATCTAGGACTTTTTTGT